AATTAATCGCCAGACCCCAAGCAGCCATACATGATGATGTCACTTGGTATAATAATCAACTTTTGTGAACTGCAACCATACCGCAAAGTCCCACCTCTGGTCCGCGCCACTCTCACGCCCCCCCACCTCCCCCCGTTCTGTGTCATACGCTTGGAGTTCGATAACGTTGATTGGGATCCCTGGATCTGCTTGGGATCTTGGGACTTTGTACTTCAGAGTGTGGGCAAGCTGACCCGGGGAGGTTGGGATCCAATCAGAAAAGGACAAAAGTTTGCCACCACCCGCCCTCTACCATGCTTTTGCAGCTTCTCATGTGAAGGGGGCTCTGGTATGAAAGGGCACACTCTTATATTGAAGGGGGGCTTTTGATGTGAAGGGGGTATTGTGATGTAAAAAAGGAGGGATTCTGTTGTGAAAGAGGTGCTTCTGATATGAAGGGGGCTTCTAGAGTGACAGGGGGAACTCTTATGTGAAGGGGACTACTGATGTGAAAGGGGGACTACTAATGAGGGGGGGGGAGACTCTGATGTGAAAGAGGAGATTCTGATGTGGAGGGGGCTCCTGATGTAAAAGGGGGGCTCTTATGTAAAGGGAGGTTCTAATATTGAAGATGGGTTTCTAAAGAAAAGGGGGACTCCTCATGTGAAGTGGGAATTGAGATGTAAAGGGGTCTCCTAGCGTGAAAGGAGGGGACTACTGATGTAAATGATGATGGGGGATGAGGGGACTGAAAAAAAAAAATGACTTACACTCACTTTAAAAGGCCTACCTGGTTTCCCCAGGACACGATTGGATATAAAATTGATGCTTTCTTTGACCCCTTGTGATCTGTCCATAGAAATGTAAGAAAATAAATCAGACAAATTTGCATACGCGTACAATACCTTATAAATTAGGAATTTCTAGCAGCCAATGGATGAGCTTCAAATATTCCTCCCTATGCTTTACCAACAAATAGGAGTCCTTGGGGTTAGGTCCCTAGATGGAACGTCATTTGCAGCACTTAGAACTGGCCCTCGCTGGTCATCCTTAAAATATATTTACTTAGAAATTAAACAATCGCCTCAATTTATCATGAAAATTAAAGTGACATCATGTTTCGTGGGTTGATGACAGCATGTTTCCCCCCCTGCCCTGCGCGGCTACGGAGTTTGTACTAGGAGCATCTGAAAGCACTTAGGGCTTCGGAGCCCAGATGTTCTCGCCGGTCGCGCTGTCAGTACGGCTTATTGATGCATGAGGTTGGTCTAAAAGTAAATGGCAAACACCAAGTCAGACCAATCCTTCTCTAATTGCTCGCTCCTCGTCTGCTCCACAATGATCCTCTGTCCTTAGGATACGTGTTGGGGTTTTCTCATTAATTCTCCCACTTAGACGGCCTGGTTTTTATTATGTTTTTACAATCTACAATTTCATTTACAATCAGTCTTGATTATCAAAGCTAATCAAGAGGAAAGTAACTGGTTAAAGGGAAAAAAAGGGTCCTCTTCTCCCCCCCCCCCCCTAGTCTTCACATGCACAATTCTTTAT